TTATGTATTTATACATGGTGAACATATCCCCCTTATGTATTATACATAGAGATCATATCACCCCTTATGTATTTCACATGTTGATCATATCCCCCCTTATGTATTTTCACATGTTTATCATATCCCCCCTTATGTATTTCACATGTTGATCATATCCCCCCTTATGTATTTCACATGTTGATCATATCCCCCCTTATGTATTTCACATGTTGATCATATCCCCCCCTTATGTATTATACATGGAGATCATATCCCCCTTATGTATTATACATGAAGATCATATCCCCCTTATGTATTACACATGGTGATCATATCCCCCCTTATGTATTATACATGGAGATCATATCCCCCCTTATGTATTTATACATGGAGATCATATACCCCTTATGTATTTATACATGTTGATCATATCCCCCTTATGTATTTATACATGGAGATCATATCCCCCTTATGTATTATACATGGAGATCATATCCCCCCTTATGTATTTCACATGTTGATCATATCCCCCCTTATGTATTTCACATGTTGATCATATCCCCCCTTATGTATTTCACATGTTGATCATATCCCCCCCTTATGTATTATACATGGAGATCATATCCCCCCTTATGTATTATACATGAAGATCATATCCCCCTTATGTATTACACATGGTGATCATATCCCCCCTTATGTATTATACATGGAGATCATATCCCCCCTTATGTATTTATACATGGAGATCATATCCCCCTTATGTATTTATACATGTTGATCATATCCCCCTTATGTATTTATCATGGAGATCATATCCCCCCTTATGTATTATACATGGAGATCATATCCCCCCTTATGTATTATACATGGAGATCATATCCCACCTTATGTATTTCACATGTTGATCATATCTTTCCTTATGTATTTATACATGGAGATCATATCCCCCCTTATGTATTATACATGGAGATCATATCCCCCCTTATGTATTATACATGGAGATCATATCCCCTCTTATGTATTATACATGGAGATCATATCCCCCCTTATGTATTATACATGGAGATCATATCCCCCTTATGTATTATACATGGTGATCATATCCCCCCTTATGTATTATACATGTTGATCATATCCCCTGTTATGTATTTATACATGGAGATCATATCCCCCCTTATGTATTTATACATGGTGAACATATCCCCCTTATGTATTATACATAGAGATCATATCCCCCCTTATGTATTTCACATGTTGATCATATCCCCCCTTATGTATTATACATGGAGATCATATCCCCCTTAGTATTATACATGGAGATCATATCCCCCTTATGTATTATACATGGAGATCATATCCCCCCTTATGTATTATACATGGAGATCATATCCCCCTTAGTATTATACATGGAGATCATATCCCCCTTATGTATTATACATGGAGATCATATCCCCCCTTATGTATTATACATGGAGATCATATCCCCTTTATGTATTATACATGGAGATCATATCCCCCTTATGTATTATACATGGAGATCATATCCCCCCTTATGTATTTCACATGTTGATCATATCCCCCCTTATGTATTTCACATGTTGATCATATCCCCCCTTATGTATTATACATGAAGATCATATCCCCCCTTATGTATTATACATGGTGATCATTTCCCCCCGTTATGTATTATACATGGAGATCATATCCCCCTTATGTATTTATACATGGAGATCATATCACCCTTATGTATTTATACATGGAGATCATATCCCCCTTATGTATTTCACATGTTGATCATATCCCCCTTATGTATTTATACATGGAGATCATATCCCCCCTTATGTATTTATACATGGAGATCATATCCCCCCTTATGTATTATACATGGAGATCATATCCCACCTTATGCATTATACATGGAGATCATATCCCCCTTATGTATTATACATGGAGATCATATCCCCCCTTATGTATTATACATGATGATCATATCCCCCCTTATGTATTATACATGGAGATCATATCCCCCCTTATGTATTATACATGGAGATCATATCCCCCCTTATGTATTATACATGGAGATCATATCCCCCTTATGGATTTATACATGGTGATCGTATCCCCCCTTATGTATTTATACATGTTGATCATATCCCCCCTTATGTATTATACATGGAGATCATATCCCCCCTTAATCTCCTCTTCTCAAGAGAGAATAAATTCAATATCTCTAATCTTTCCTCATAGCTGAGCTCCTCCATGCATCTTATCAGTTTGGTTGCCCTTCTCTGTACTTTCTCCAGTTCCCCAATGTTCTTTTTGTGAATTGGTGCCCAAGACCGAACTGTATATTCCAGACGAGGTCTTACTAATGATTTGTACAGGGGTATAATGATATCTCTTTCTGGAGTCTATACCTCTTTTAATACAAGAGAGGATTTTGCTCGCTTTAGAAACTGCAGCTTGGCATTGCATGCCATTATTAAGCTTGTGATCTAACCTTTGTTCTCAGTTGCATAAAGGCCTTAGGGAGCTAAGGGTGAAGAAACAGCAGTACACTGATCTTCACAGTGAATGGCTGTGCAGGGGGGGCATGTCAGCACAAGTCTGACCATTGGAGGATAGACAACTAGTGGGTTTCTGTAAAAATGTTCCAACGCTGAAAAATCAGGCAAAACACGATAAAACACAGCAAACCAGTGTCTTTGAACTTTTTCTGGGCTGAAAAACTCAAACGCAGAAAAACGCTAATGCAAAACCGCTAAAAAATGCCGAAAAACTTGCATTTTTAACATGACTATACACAGCTAATGCTACCAGCGTTATTAAAATGCCCCGTGTGCATGGAGCCTAACTCTCAGACAAGCTTTAAAAATTCAGCACTTATGTAGAGATGAGAAGACTGCAGATAAACAGGTACAGCTTATGTAGGAGGAGGATTTGTTTCATCTCTGTATATCACCTGAGGACAGTCACTTCATGAGTATATGTGAAGATTTAAAACCCACTTTAACTATATCAAGGGGATAAATAAGGTTCAGGAGGGCAGTATTTTCAATATGAAGCCGGGGTAAAAAATGTGGGACATGACCTGAAATTAGCAGGAGGAAATTTTTAATTGTCATTAAAATAGTATTATTTTACTGAAAGAGTAGTTGATGCTTGAAATAGACTTCCAGCAGAGGTAGTGAGTTAGTCAAAAGTAAGTGGACTCAACATGCTGGGGACAATCATAAGTCTATACTTGGACAAAAAAGTTATATATATACTGTGAATGATATATATATATTTATAGATAGATAGATAGATAGATAGATAGATAGATAGATAGATAGAATAGATTCAGTATATTAAAAAACAATGGCCCACTTGGTCTTTTTTTCTGTTGTCACTCTTCAGTGTTTCTATGATATCCTGTGTTGGGTGTATTAAATTCCCTGTTTTTTTAGTCTTGTTTAATTTTGGTATTATATCTTGTGGCAGTTGCAGCACACTACCAGAGACTGGTGTATAAGTAAGTGCAGAACAATAAAGGAAAAATATATTAGGCTTTTTTTTTAAATGTGGAAAAATACATTTTCTGACCAGCACAAAAAAAGACTAAGATGTGAACATTAGAGGATGCTTGGCTGTATTTACAGCACTGTAGCTTAGCTTATATTTAGGCTGCCGTATTAATGGTAGATTTTTTAAAATAATGCTCGGTAGATCCGCTTTATTTCTAATATGATAATCCATCTATCTTATGCTTTTCAGTGCAAAGGCTGACTGTTTAATAAACAGGGGGGGGGGGGGGGGGTGGGGGGGTGTGTGGGGGTGTTGTGGGTTGTGGGGGGGGGGGGTGGGGGGGGGTTGGGGGGGGGGGGGGGGGGGGGGGGGGGGGGGGGGGGGGGGGGGGGGGGGCATAGGAAAGATAAGCTATATATGTTCTGTGACTGTGAATTACATAACTATACCATGACAGGCAAAGGAAGTCTCTGGAATGACCTGTCGTGAGTCTGGATGGTGTCATGCTCACTTTCTTTAAGATCAGTATTTAAATTAAACAATGCAGGATGTTTGGGTGTATTTTATTTGAACCATAGTTCTTTTTTGTACATTCATTTTTTATTATACAAATATATAAATTATTAAGTTATACAACTTTAAAAATCAGTTGGTATTATGTAAGTATAATTCTCTCAATGTAATAGGTAGAGTCTATGCAAAATAGATGAGTTAAAAAAAATAGACCACAGATTAACCAAGCGTATTATAAATTAATAAAAAGTCTTGTATTTGTAAAATTAAGATTATTAGGTATTGGTTTCTAGACAATAATGTGAACTAAATATGGATAAAATAATTCTAATTAGATGATATGGTCAAAGTTAATTTCCAAGAAAAGACAGAAACTGTGTGCTATATGAGAACCTTCTTTATCTTGGCTATCTATTATTGTTCTGTCACCTGTACACACCTTCCTGTTTCTCACCATTTGTACAAAGCAGTGTTTGTGCTGGGAGCATGCTGCACAGAAAAATGCACCTAGACAAGAATCCTTGCAACAACCCTGTGGCTAAACACCTAATGGGGTCCCCTTTTTTTTAGATGTGGAGTTTAATTCCGCTTTAAGTTATGAAATAAAAAAAACAGCCTTTTCTGCCTTATTTACCTTTTATCCTGAAATTTTTCTATCAGTAGTTTTTTCTACCTCCAAATGTCCTCACACTGAAGGCCAACGTCATTTAACCTACTTCAGCTGGGAGGTAGAAAACACACAGGAATCCAGTGGATCATTCTTCCTCCTGCCATTTACCCAAAACAATTAAATATTACTTTAGCTGGGATGATCCTTGAATGGACCACATAGCCACTATGGTATTACAATTATACTGTACTGTACAATGTATGCATATGAAAATGGATGGCATAGCCTGTTTCACTCATTAGCATCTGAATATTAATAAATATTAATGCAGAACACATATTTTAACATAAGGTGCACATGTACATTTACCTCCTTTTTTTTTCTCTTCTAGAGCCAGAAATTACGGGAAGTGTTCAACCTGGACTTTCCTGAAAACAACTTCTTGGCCAAAACTTTGTGCATGGTCACTGGGCCAGATATGGTGGATCTTACCTTCCATAACTTTGTATCCTACAAGGAGAATGTGGGCAAGGTACTGTATAAAAAAATGTATAGCTAATAGAAGTGAAAGAGGTGTAGATGAAAATGTGTTAAAAAAACAGTGAAGGAGATTTACTAAAACTGGAGCACTCAGAAACTGGTGCAGGTGTGCATGGTAGCCAATCAGCTTCTAACTACAGCTTGTTCAATTAAGCTTTGACAATAAAACCTGAAAACAGATTGGTTTCTACGCAGAGCTGCACCAGATTTTGCACTCTCCAGTTTCAGTAAATTTACCTCATTGGCTGCCATTGCTAGTCTGCTGCTGAAAGGGCTAGTTGGTAGACAGTCATGCTGGCCTCATGTCTTTAATACTTTGAGTCTGGGACCCAGAAAAGACTGCAGATCAGGATGACCCAAAGCAGACTTAGGGTCTCTGCTCCGACACCTGTATCCCTCATTCGGTGTATTCCACTAATGGTACAGGTCAAGCTAGAAGTCTGCCTTGACTTCATGCAATCTGCAGAACAATGAGATAAAAAAAATCTCGCATCACACAAATCCAAAGTGTGATAAGGGACAGAAGTCTCAGCCTAACTCCTTCCAGGCCATACGTAGCCTAGATGGAGTTAGGCTGAGGCTGCTATCCCTTATCACATGCTGGACCTGTATGGTGTGCGGTGGCTGAGATTTTTTTCTCTTTGTTCCGTGAAATGCGGATCAGGAGTTGTAATTTTACTTGCAACATGCTTTCTACAGGACGTTTAATTTAGAAAGTATTTAGGAACATAGTGAGTCAACATGCATTTTTAGATGGAGAATATTAATGGAAACCTATGGCGTAGATTTACTAAAACAGGAGAGTGGAAATTCTGGTGCAGCTGTTCATGGTAGCCAATCAGCTTCTAACTTCATCTTGTTTAATTAGGCTTTGGCAATAAAAAGTGTAAGCTGACTGGTTTCTATGTAGAGCTGCTCTAGATTTTGCACTCTCCAATTTTAGTAGATCATCCTACTGTATTTATGTCATAACAGGTTTAATAAAGAGACCCTGTGACATGAAACCTTTTTTTAATCCAAGCACATACCTAGAGGAAGAGTGTACATACAGTGTACACTTCCCTTCCATCTGCATTGTTCAACATTGCTCTGTTGTAAAAAACTGGTTCCCTGAAGTTCAGTTGTAAAACAACACTTCTGCGAGTGTTGTTCTACGCGGTCCTCTCCATCCTTCACTGATTTCTCCCTCTAAATTTACTATTCTACAGAGACATGAGGTCAGAGAGCCTTTACAGAGATCGACACTTCCATAAGTGACTGTTTCTGAGTGGACTTCAGAGGACCGGTCCTTACTTTGCTTAACTTGTTGTTCAAGAAAAAGACCAGTTGAGTAAGTTTAGCAAGAATAGAAATTTAGAAAGCATAGTTGTTTGCCAAAAATGTTGCAAACAGTCACATGTTGGAATATGGTTTAACCAAAGATGCAAACCTATAGTGAAATCAGTGGGGTGAGGTTAGCAGGAAGAACCAGTGAGACCTGTGATGGATTACGAACATCAACCCTCCTGGAAGCATCCGTTTTGGGCTTCAGCGAGCAGTTCTAGTGGTCATAGAGATGTTTAATGGTGCGACAGGACAGGTCATACTTAATTTTTAGATTTGGCTTTAGATGAAATTATTTCAGTAAGTGATGGTGCTGTTTAGGCTGTGTGAAATTGTGGTGTGGACAAGTGCCCTGTAATGGCAATAATTAATATCAATTCCAATCATATATATATAAAAAGTACCTAAAGAGTGCAAAGAAACCAGGAGCTATTGCTTATAGTAAGCAGTTTTATTGTCTCTGTTTTGCTTGCGTTCCATAGTTCCCAGCTTAGCTTAAACTTAATTGACATTAGTCTTTTTTGGCCAGGCAAGTTTATACAGTAGTTGTCATCTTGTAATGGAATAGACACGTTTATTGATAGTTTAAAACCTTTATTTCCTTACCTTGTTAGGTATTTCTGATGTTTTCTTGTATCCTAAGAAGCAAAAATTCAGTTGCAAAATTTCTGAGCAGCAAAAATGTGCTACAGCTGTTTTCGTTTTAAACTAATTTTATTGGAAAATAAATTAAATGCATACATGTTATACAGAGGAAAACAATATAAAAAACATCTCAAAGGTCAAAATCTTGTCCGATGACACGATATAGACAGGAAATAGGTTCATAAAAAGCCAAAAGTATACTTAAATATCCAATATAATAACAACATCAGATGGAGACTTACACAAACATGCATCTTACGAAGACACATCTATTTATCCGGGTACCTAAACTCTAAACAGACCTGAGCAGTAATATACACTACACCCTGCATACCAGGCAGGGAAAACAGTTTCATTCTCCTAAAATGCTCATTATACCCCTGGAACCATAAGGGCATCGCTATCATGGTCACCCTCAAAATTATACCACAGAACTCCGACCTTCCTTTCCAAAAAGGGGCTAAAGGTCAGCCCACAACACAGAAGCAGGACCATAGGAGGTGTTAACTATAGAGGAGGATCAAAAATCAAATGTAACAAAAAGTCACTCTTATTCTGCTTGTCTAACCAAGGTTCCCAAATATTGATAAATTTGCCTGGGCACCCTCATAGGTCACAGCTGTATTCTTTAGTTCAAAATAAACAGTTGCAGGACCTCCAATTTGCAGTAGAGTGTCACATAACTAAGAAGCCTCAAAGTTAATATTTCTCAGTCTCTAGAAATTGTCATTTGTGTTTCTGGCCCAAAATTGGGTCTCTGTTACCCCTTTTAAGCCCACTCACAGTACCTCACAGCAAAGCCCTCCTTTGCAATTGGTGTTAGATATCCTAAAAACTTAGGGAGCCTCTCTGAAGCAAATCCTCTACATCACCAGAGATTTGTTACCTGAAAGTGTTTTGTCTTAAGGAAACTGCGTCTTCTGAGAAAGCAGCAGACATATCCTCCTTCTTCTCCGGCAAAGTTCGTCTTCCCACACTTTGCAATTCCTAAAATAAAGGTGCTAATGTCACCCGCAGTTGATGTCACAGCTCACAATGCATCTGACACAATGACAACATGTTACTGATGCACCACACTGTCATTGATGGTTGCCAGCCCAAAGCTAATGTGGAAAAAAGAAAGAAATACATGTGACAGACAGTGACCATCTATCTTTCCACTCTCTGCTGATGCCAGCTTAGAAAACATTGGACTTTTCAAATCGTATAAAGAAGCCATATAGACATGTTTTATATTTCTGTGTAAAGTTGACCATATGCATATAGATTCTTTCATCCATGCTATACAGTACGGATAAACAAATCTCCTGTTACGCCTATTGTATTTTGAGAGCTGGCCCTCCAGCTGTCAAAACACCTGAACAAAGCCCACATCTGATTGGATGCAGGCACTGTTCGGCTGCCAATCTTTCCACCCAATTCCTTCAATTTCTCAGTTGAAGGTTTCCGTCCAATTCATCAGGAACCAGCTGAAATTGGGTCGGTGTGTGGCCAGCTTTACGTTTGCAATACATGAATTACTGGCTTGGCAAATCCAGAAGGTTTTTAAATAATATGGCCCAGAAGTATTTAATAATTTTTACACACATTGGTTATATATACAGTATAGTTTAATGTTGCATTTTGATTAACTTATTTATCTGACTTTTTTCTATTGTGAGTAGGAACTGACTTCTTTTTTTGTTTTTTACATTTTTATTAAATTCAAGTTAGAACAAAATAGAGATACGCACATAGTCATTTAGAGTCATAAGGGTCAAGTTACTAAAACTGGGGAGTGCAAACTCTGGTGCAGCTCTGCATAGAAACCAATAAATGTCCAGGTTTCTTTTTTGTCAAAGCTTAACTGAACAAACTGAAGTTAGAAGCTGTTTGGCTACCATGCACAGCTGCACCAGATTTTGCTCTCTCCAGTTTTAGTAAATCAACCACATTGTCCGTTAGAAAATGGTGCAATCAAAGACTTAAATATTCTTACAGATACTGAAACAAACAAAAATCTAATTTTTGCAGATAACAGTCAGGACCAAAATGTCTTCATATAAGCATGTAGATATACACTATATTGCCAAAAGTATTGGGATACTTACCTTTACATATACATGAACTTTAATGGCTTCCCAGTCTTAGTCCATAGGGTTCAATATTGTGTTGGCCCACCCTTTGCAGCTATAACAGCTCCAACTCTAAGGTTTAGAGGAGTGTGTCTATGGGAATTTTTGACCATTCTTCCAGAAGTGCATCAGGCGCTGATGTCGGACGGGAAGGCCTGGCTCTCAGTCTTCCCTCTAATTCATTCCAAAGGTGTTCTATCGGGCTGAGGTCAGGACCGTCAAGTTCCTTCATCCCAAATTCACTCACCCATGTCTTTATGGACCTTGCTTTATGCACTGGTGCGCAGTCATGTTGGAACAGAAAGGGGCCATCCTTAAACTGTTCCCACAATGTTGGGAGCATGAAATTGTCCAAAATGTCTTGGAATGCTGACACCTTAAGAGTTCCCTTCACTGGAACTAAAGGGCCAAGCCCAACCCCTAAAAAGCAACACCACACCATAATCCCCCCTCCACCAAACTTTACACTTGGCACAATGCAATCAGGCAAGTATCGTTCTGCTAGCCACTGCCAAACCCAGACACATCCAATGGATTGCCAGACAGAAAAGCATGATTTGTCACTCCAGAGGACACGTCTCCACTGCTCTAGAGTCCAGTGGTGGTGTGCTTTACACCACTGCACGATGCTTTGCATTGCACTTGGTGATGTAAAGCTTTGCTGCAGTTGCTCGGCCATGGAAACCCTTTCCATGAAGCTCTCGACGCACTGTTGTTGTGCTAATCTGAAGGTCACACATAGTTTGGAGTTTTTAAGCTATTGACTCAGCAGACAGTTGGTGACTTCTGTGCACTGTGCGCTTCAGCATGCACTGACCCCACGCTATCATTTTACGTGGCCTGCCACTTCATGGCTGAGTTGCTGTTGTTCCCAGTTGCTTCCACTTTGTTATAATACCACTAACAGTTGACCGTGGAATATTTTGTAGCTAGGAAATTTCACGGATGGACTTATTGCACAGGTGGCAACCTATCATGGTATGACGCTTAAATCTACTGAGCTCCTGAGAGCGACCCATTCTTTCACAAATATTTGTAGAATCAGTCTGCATGCCTAGGTGCTTGATTTTATACACCTTTAGCCATGGAGGTGGTTGAAACACCTGAATCCAATGATTTGGAGGGGTGTCCCAATACTTTTGGCAATATAGTGTGTATATTAGCCCATACTTTTCATGATAACAGACAATTTGAAGGGCAGCCTCTCAGGAGTTAAGCCAACTCATAAGGGCAAATGCATTAGATCAACAGAGCATCCTCCAGTCCAAGGTAGGAGGCACATTGGCTTTGATTCATGGTTGCCCATATCTTATGAAATTTGGACATGTTTCAATACTGTAATTATCTCACAGAACATGACCTGAGAAACCAGGGATTTACCTCTGCAATGTGTAATGTAGGGGGTCCTCCACACCCAGTCTAGTGCCAAGGCATCTTTTTTTTTTATTAAGGAGTGCCTCTTTAGTGTCTGTACAGAAAGAAGTTCCAACCACTGTATATAGGATTTGGTAAACTCTATTCAAAGATCATATTGCTTTTAGAAACTCCCACCAAATGAGAATATATATTTCTCCCTAAAAGTTAACAGAGAGTAGAAATAGTGAAACAATTTGAAGTACTTAGCCTGGTAAGAAGTTTTATAAGAGGAAGTAAAGTGGATTCCCAGGGTAGAGTAGAGTATGATGAGTCCAAGAGAAGGTGAAAGACATTTGAATGGATTCCTGAAAACGCGTGGATAAATATATACTCAAAGCCTTAGACTTACACCTATTGACCCAAAAGAACAGCAAATTGGCACAGTAAAATAAAATTCAACAGAGAATTCAGATTTAGACCAAAACAGTAGGGCATCATCTGCAAAAAGGCAAATTTTGTGATGATAACCTGACACTCTAATCCCAGTATCATCCTGATGAAGTTGTATGACCTAAGCCAGGGACTAGATGGCCACGGTGAACAAGACCAGGGATAGTGGACATCCCTGTCTTGTGCCAAGATTTAAATCCAATCCTAAAATGCTGAACTGAGCAAAAAAAAAAAGTACAGGGCATTGCTCCGAGGAAGAAATTGAGGGTCAAAACCCCAATGTTGCAAGACTTGAAACAAAATAGTCCCAATTTAGGGAATCAAAAACGTTCCTCATGTCTAAAAATAGGCATTGTAGTGCATCTCTGGCATGACATATGCAAAAAAAGTGAAATTGTTGTCCTTTGTTTGCTTGCCAAGAATAACGCTCATACAGTTCTCTGAAGTGTGACCATTATGGGGCTTCGGTATTATACAAATGCTTGAGAGAAGGAAATCACACTCTTAGTTGGTAAAATAATTTAGATAGGGAAGAGAATGCCCAAAAAATATTTGTAGTTAATAGCAGTAAAGTCATCAGGCCCTAGCTTCTTCCTGTATTTGACAGTTTTATTAGCTTATTGAATTTACAATAAAGAAATGTACTTATTGATAGAGGAATGATCTGTATCTGATAATTTCAGGAATTTCAGATTAGAGAAAAATGTTGCAACCTTTTCGTGGTCCTGGTAACTAGCACTGATGTAACTGGACCAGATAGAAATGAATTGAAGACTCTTTAAAATCTTAACCAGGTCCGAGTTAAGGTGTTCCTGATCTGTGCGCAGTTTAAAGGGTGCATCAATATGGCTTTCTTGTTCAGTCTAGTCTAGTGGGAAGGAGGGTATCAGTCTTGCTACCGTTTAGGAGGAATTTATGTTTCGATTAATTTGTTGCTCCGTCAGGTATGTAAAGCATCAGTAAAGTTTAGTTTTCAAGCTGTATACCCTAGTATGGGTAACTGGGGCGTGGTCACTATGGAAGTTTTTGGAAGCTACAAGAAGGCCAACCACTAATTATTTAACATGCTCCATGGATTTTTTCTTTTGGAATGCAAATTATGTCAGGGTTCCATGAATGGTAGGTTTGTGGGCTTCTCAAACAGTAGTGGAAGAAAGCAGAGAGGATTAATTTAAAGAAAAATATTCTTAAGGAGTGGCCCGGGTACAAAGTGTTACCAAAGGGTCACTAATCAAAATCATGAAGGGACCAAAAATGCTGAATATAACATCTCTGGAATGGCTTTCTGCAACAATCAGTCAGAAAAAAAAAATAAAGTTATGTGATTTTTGGGACCTAAAGTTTTCATTGGAAATGCCCCTATGACAGGCCTGCTGAGGCCATGTTATACTTCATCTGTGCTAAAGATAAGTGGACTTTTGGTTTGTGTTGCTGAAGTTAAGCTATTTATGTTTGCTCTGGATGGCCCAAAGCACTATCACTGTAGCTATACCCCTGAACTTTACACACTAAGTGTTAGAGTTTGTGGATTTGTAAATGCCTACGGTCTCTAGATGTTTAGAGGAATCACCAATAACCAGGGATGTGGGGGCACTGACTGTGACTTTAAGGCTACGTTCACACTAGCGTTGTGTGCAGGTGGCAGAGAGGCGTTTGGGAAGCGTTTTTACCGCTTCCCAAACGCCTCTGCCAATTCTGCACATTACAGCACATGGTGCTGTTCTGACGGGATTGTTTGCGTCGTGTCGCGGCAAAACGGACGCCTCTGGTCGAGTCAGGAGGCATTGAAGCCTCCTATTCTAGTCTATGATGCCGCTCCGCAAATGGTGCGGTTGCGACGCAGTCACGGGGCGTTTGGGGAGCGGTAACACCATTCAAACTGCATTATAGGCGTTTGTGGGGCGTTTTTAACGCTCAGCAAACGCCTAGCAACCGTCGCTAAACTGCGCATGCGGCGTTTGCGAAGCGTTTGCTGAGCGGTAAAAACGCTCCACAAATGCCGGACCAACACTTGCCAAACGCTATAGAGGCGTTTGGCAAGCATTGGTAAAACAGCCAAGTGTGAATGAGCCCTAAAAGTACTAACTGGATGGTGTTAGGGCTCGTTCACACTTGACTGTTTTACCAACGTTTGCCAGATGCCCCTATAGCGTTTGGCAAGCGTTGGTCTGGCGTTTGCGGAGCGTTTTCTAACGCTCGGCAAACGCCGAATGCGCGGTTTAGCGGCGGTTGCTAGGCGTTTGCCGAGCATTAAAAACACCCCACAAATGTCTAGAATGAAGTTTGAATGGTGTTACCGCTCCGCAAACACCCCGCAACCGCATCGCAACCGCATCGCAACCGCGCCGCAAATGCCAGCTGGGTGTTTGCGGAGCGGCAACATAGACAAGAATAGGAGGCTTCAACGCCTCCTGACTCATCCAGAGGCGTCCATTTTGCCGCGCCGCTACCGTTCCCGTTAGAAACAACACCATGTGCTGCAATGTGCAGAATTGCCAGAGGCGTTTGGGAAGCGGTAAAAAAACGGTTCCCAAATGCCTCTCTGCCACCTGCACACAACGCTAGTGTGAACGTAGCCTTAAAGAAAAGAACATTATGTTATGTATCCACCCAACTTTGCCAATTAGAAGTAAAGTTTTCCAAAACTAAAGGGATTAAAATGAATACACACGGGATTATATTACTAAAACAGCATGGAGCAAAATCTGGTGCAGCTCTGCATAGAAACCAATCAGCTTCCAGGTTTTATTGTCAAAGCTTAATTGAACAAGCTGAAGTTAGAAGCTGATTGGCTAACATGCACAACTGCACCAGATTCTGAGTTTTAGTAAACCCCCCCACAGTGGTTTTGACTGAGACTGTGATCAGTAGTTGTGATAGTAAATCATGAGATGCATATTCTCTATTCACAAGTTGTATATTTATTTTGTGCCACTAATGTTTCTTTTGCAGGACTGGGCCACTGACATTCTGGCAATAGTTAGAAATCCCCTTCTAAACAATGCTTCACGCTACTCCTTTTATGAGAAAATGTAAGTGTTGCTTCCCCTTGACTTTTAACATTGTGAAACATTCTGCACTTCTCACCAGCAGTTCTGTAATGTACATGTATGACCAAACTCCACTGAAAAAGGACAGCTGTGCAGGGTCTTATACTTCACTCTCTGACCACTTCCTGCCTCTCAGCTATTTCTCTTCATCTCCTGATGAACACACTTATCTTTGTCCAAAGATTGACAGTGTTTCCCTTGTGTTAGGCTGGTGCTGTAGGTGGTTTGACCATGACTCTCCCTTTCATAAACATGCATGGTCATGTACAGCAGGATGGTAGATCAGGCAGCAGATTACAAAAGTTTTGTTAAGTTTTGTGTGCAAAGCGAGTGTCAGGAATCCAACCACGGTAGCCTCTAGCACTCCACAGAATCACCCAAGGCGCGGAATCTAAGCTCCGACCTGCTTGTTCACCAGGGCCCCTGATGGTGGGGATGGACTTGGAGCAGGCCGAGACCAGGTCGCAGTCCCTGGGTTCACCCAGCTGTGGTAAAGGCACCGTTGAAGGTGTATAGCGGGTAAGAATCTGATGTGAGGAGGTAACTAGAGCAGCGTTGGGCAGGCCGGGTCGGTAACAGTGGTGGCGGTGTAGTACAGAATCAGCAGGCAGAGGGATAAACAGGTCACAAGCCGGGTTCGTCAACAGGAGGTCAGAACGTGTGGGGTTAAGCAGGAGAATGGTCAGACAAAGCCATGGATCAGAACAGGAGACGGACAGCAAATCAGGGTCAGGCAGGGTCGGCAATAAACAATCTACTCTCAGAAACTCAGGAACACAGATAAGACCATATGACAATTGAGCATTGCAAGAGCCGGGTTTAAATAGCCCGCCCGACTCCTGACAGGCGCTCCTGGGTCCTAGTGCTTGCCCAGCGCCGTCATTGGTGACAGGAGCGCCTGGGTCCTAGTGCCTGCCTGCCTGTATGTTTTGTCAGGATTCTACGCATGTGCAGATTCGATCGCCGCAGCGATCTTCTCATTCCCTGACAGAGAGGCAGATTAAGGCACAATAAGTGCCCTAAGTAGCAGCTTACTCCCCTACCACCTCCATCCCTTTGTTTGGTATTGATAAGGATTGCAACAGGTACAGCCTCTCAGTTTTCCATAGAGGTGATCTGCACAACCGATGCTGCTCTACAATTTTGCTTTATTCAAGAAACCACTGTGTACAATTCACATATACAGTAAGTTGACGTGTTTCAGCCTACAGAGCTTTAATCATAAAATTATGGTTATGATTAAAGCTGTGTAGGCTGAAACGCGTCAACTTAATGTATATGTGAATTGTGCATTGTGTTTTTTTTGAATAAAGGAAGATTTTAGAGCAGTATCAGTTGCACAGATCATTATATGAACAATTATTTTCAGCTGAGCAACTACAGAGCAAGCACCCGTAAACTTTGCCGATGGTGGATTGAATAGGTAGCAGCACTGAATTCTTTGTTTATATTACAGCGTCACAGTTTCCATTGCCTGTATTAGCATTGCCTGTCTTGTTAGATACCAAGGGGGTGATTTACTAAACTTGGAGAGTGCAAAATCATGTGCTGCTGTGCATGATAGCCATTCCACTTCTAACTTCAGTTTGTACAATTAAGCTTTGACAAAACTGGAAGCTGATTGGTTTCCATGCACAGCTGCACTAGATTTTACACTCTTCAGTTTTAGTACACCAACCCCCCCCAATTGTCTGCATATGCTTCCTGCTTTGTGATATGACAGACAGATGTACTTTACAACTTTTACCAAGAGTACTATCCACATGGTTTACGGCAGGAGCATGAAGGTTATCACTGGGCATCCGGATATCCAAAGGGTCCTAGGCTGCTGCCTAAGTTGTCTTGTGGATTCCACAGTTTTGGTGAAAAGTCCTTACAGATATATCTGATTTTGTCAGATTTTGTAGATGTGGCATTAGCACATGCCGTGTTACATGAAAATCTCTGAAAATGCTGTATGAAAAATGACATTTTTTATGCATACCAAGGTTGATAAATGGGCATATGATTCTCTGGGTAGATGGTGGGGAAACATCTCTCCCTGCTCTAAAGCTCTGATACACACTGATGCTTCCATTCAATGAATGAAGAAGTTCACATACAGGTAACACATTTTGTTTTGCCTTCTGAAGATAAATTGATCTGGCAGGACACATTGGCATATTGTAAAGGTCTAATGTCCCTAATTCACATTCATAGACTAGGACTAATTAACCTGCCAGCATGTCCTGGGAGTGTGGGAGGAAACCAACACAGGCACAGGGAGAACATGAAAACTCTGTGCAGGTAGTGTCCTGGTTGGGATTCAAATTGGCAACCCTGCTGATATGAGGAAGTGATAGCCACTGTGCAGCTACAAATGTAGGAACAATCTCAGCCAGAAGGAAAGTAGTTAAAGGTGATTGTAGGAGATGGTTGGATATACTTCTTTGAAGTAAGGGTCAAAGATAATCTTCACAAAGGCCTCGAGGTCATGTACCACTCCTAAAGCACAAAGTAATAGTAATATTTATCTTAAATTAACTACTACCACCATACATACAAACTGCTATCGGTATTAGATAGACACCTGCTTCTGAGAACTCTGGGGGTAAATAAAAACTTGGCAGAAAACCTGTCTGTCATTGTTCTTCTTTGAAATAAAGAAATGAGGAGGCATTCAGGTCCTTTCCACCCACCCCCCCCTTTTAAGGACATCAACTTACCTGTTGGCTGAGCCTACCTTGCCCTTTATAGAGCACTCTGGTTTTGAAAACTAGCATCTCTGAGGGTTGTCCCTACACACCTATCCACCATCAATGGTCCGCTTGAGCTTCAAATTCAGACTGCAATGACTCTGAATGTTGTCCCTCAATTCCTATTTTATTTCATTTTTAACCAATAAAATACATTTATTAATCTGTACTGTAAATGTGTTGTGTATTTCTAATATGTTTGTGTTTCTCTCTCACTACGTTCTTTGTATAGACATATAAAGCTTACACTTCAGCTAAATGCAGAGGGAAAGATTCCTGTGCGGAAGTAAGTGACGCATAGCAACTGGATAAAAAGCAGTGGGTTGACTTACTATGTGAAATGTGCAAAGTAACACAAAGGAACAACAACAATCTTAGAGTGTTCTATATAATAAAGAAAGAATTGTGATTTCTGTGTGTTCTCTATATTCCAAAAAGGATGACTGTTCGCTGAAGTGATACACAGAATACACAACTTCTTTTCTAATTTTTCCATTTTCTTTGGTGTTCTTTTTCTATCTCTCTCTTTTTTTTTCTATTTCTCTTTACATTTCACTGTTTTATGGGTTTTTATAACATTTTTCATTTATATACCCATGTTGCTTATAAAAGCCAGTAAGATATTTTCTACTTAGTGATAGGAACAAGTAAAACTAGGCATTGGGAATTTTGCCATTTTGAGGAAATGCATTAGAGTCAGAACTGAAGGCTAAAATATATCTTTTTGTGGTGTGGGTGCAATAGACTTTAAATGAACCTTGAGGAATGGAGGAGCTCTTTTCAACTGTCCTCGCCTGTTCTGGTGCCAAAAAATGGCCTATGGCTATCTGTTAGCATGCTTTCAGATATTGAGGAACCCTAATGCAAACTAACTCCAATATTCCCCCAACTTTAATCGTAACAAGAACACTAGTCCTTTGTTTTTTTTAACAAAACATATATCAAATCTATGTCAGTATCAGTATTGACATGGTTACCAATTAATTCTGTTAGAAGACAAAGCTGTGTGATATCAATTTAGTAAAAAATATGTTTGCCTGAGCAGTCTGCAGGGCACAGTTTGAGGTTTATTTTTACAAAATTTTGGAGAAGGGGAATGAGTAATTTTGCCAAAAAATTAGTTTTGGTAATATCACTTTACTCAGCTCTACCTAGTGATGGGAAAATAAGAGCTGGGGTCTGGTTGGCTGCTTTGGCCAGCATAGACACTTTGTTCCCATGATTAAATCAGCCAATTTGAAGAAAATATATTGAGCAGGGATATTGTACATTTGTAATGAGGATAAACATTATCACTTCTTGCAGAGTTAAATTAACCAGCTCTTTTTGCTAGGAAAGGAATAATTTACTCTCAAACAGACAATTATCTTCAAATCATGGTTCCTCTGTCTTTCTCTTGGACAGTATTTTCCAGATGTTTCCTGCAGACAGGAAGAGAGTGGAAAATGCATTACATGCTTGTCATCTGTCGAAGGGGAAAGTGAGTATCATAGTAATGCCTGTGCTGACTTGTTATATACACTATATTCCCAAAAGTATTGGGATGCCTGCCTTTACACGCAGATGAACTTTAGTGGCATCCCAGTCTTAGTCTGTTGGCCCACCCTTTCAATTCTTTTGGGAAGGCTGTCCACAAGGTTTAGGAGTTTGTCTATGAGAATGTTTGACATGCTTTACACCACTGCATCCGATGCTTTGCATTGCACTTGGTGATGTAAGGCTTGGATGCAGCCCATTCCATGAAGCTGTCTTCGCACTGTTGTTGTACTAATCTGAAGGCCACATGAAGTTTCAAGGTCTTTAGCTATTGACTCTGCAGACAGTTGTGCACTTCAGCATGCGCTGACCTTGCTCTGTCATTTTATGTGGCCTACCACTTGGTGGCTGAGTTGCTGTTGTTTCCAGTTGCTTCCACTTTGTTATAATACCACTAACAGTTGACCATGGAATATTTAGTATCAAGGAAATTTCACGGATGGACCTATTGCAACCTATCACGGTAGTACACTTGAATTCACTGAGCTCCTGAGAGCGACCCATTCTTTCACAAAATGTTTGTAGAAGTAGCCTGCATGCCTAGGTGCTTGATTTTATACATCTGTGGCCATGGAGGTGATTGGAACACCTGAATCCAACGATTTGGAGGAGTGTCCCTATAATTTTGGCAATTTAGTTGTCCGTTTATCATGCAGTGGTAAATGACCACTGCTCAGTTCTCCGG